ACTTAGAAGAATACTATGATTCTGGTAAGACAAAAAGGACAAAACATAACTTTCTTATGCCCTTTTGTTCTCCCTTGCATGATTCCATGAGCATAGGATGGTAGGCAGCTGGCAGAGTCTTCAACAGACTAGAGAAAACCAAAAGTGCCTGCAACACAGCATGGGAAATACAGGTTCTGTTGCTGAGTTAGTTAAAAAGAAAATAAAAATCCAAGTCAAAATGGATCACAGAGAAATGAAAAGTCACAAAAGCTGACTCCAATCTTGTGAAGCTGAGTTTCCTACATTCCCTCTGTAGTCAGAACAGTCCTCTAAGGTGCAGTTCAGATCAGGTGTTTGAGTAGCTGTGAATGTCTCTTTACAGGAGATTGTGTTCTCAAGGAGTAGCTTAGGAAAATCAAAGATTGGGCTAACTTGCTAAAGGTGACATTTTTGTGAGTACTTACTTTCAATGTGTTTCCTAGGTGTCAAATCCCTACCTTGTGTGCTGCATGACTATTAATTTTGATTTGGGCTCCAATTCAGAGCAGACAAAATTATTTCCTGTTGGGGATATGTGGGACTGGGGTATGGGCTATAGCACATCATCATTTTGTCTTTATACAGAAACCAGATTTGAGCTGTGATTAAACTGGTTTACCCCACTGCATCACAGCCTCCAACCCCCCCCCCCCCCCCCCCCCCCCCCCCCCCCCCAACCCTACAAGACCTACTTTTCTGGAGTGTCCCAACAAGCCTGGCAGCCTCAGATATCCTCCCTAACTTCATGTCCTACTCTGTATAACACTCTTGGCGCGAGAGTACAAAAAAGTACAAAAGAGTACAATACAAAAAATTGTGAAAAGTCTTGAAACAATCTACTTCCTAAAATGCATGCAGCTTAGAGAAGAGTATGGCTCAGGTACAGAAAACTATGGCCTAAGGCTTGGAAGCAGGAAAGGCTCCAGGCAACATTTCCATACCAGTGCCCTTGTCCATGGGAAGATCTCTCAGCCATATGACAAAATGACCAAGCATGTGCATTAGAAGAAACCTAGTTGTTGGAATCCATGTTTTCAAGGCATCCAGCCTCCCTAGCATGTATAAACTTTATTTGGAGCTGTGTGGGAACACCACCTGCTCACACTGCTCCAAGAAATTCTACTTAGAACATTCAGAAGCAGCTGGGATGTGAATATTTCATTCATCTCATCAGAAGCTGAAATTAGGATTGAAAACATAGAGCATGCATTCTACATACATTCCAAGAAAATATTTATTCATTAATATTTTTGTTCACTGAAATATCACAAATTGTTTATAATTTCATTTCTTGTTTATGCTGTGGGTTGATGTGGTTTATACTAAACTTTGTAGATAACTTTAAGGTAGCAAATTTGCCATGATTCAAGCCAGTTGACCTACAGCTAAAAAACCAAGTAGAACTGGAATCAATAGTTTCCACTGTGACAATCAGTTGTGCAGCACATAATCCTCTACAGTATGGTGGGCATGGGAATAAATTACCTGGGCTTTATAATTGTATTAATCTTCTACTCCTGTAACTTTCAAAAGCATAGTGTTACAAAGAAAATTCCATGTGCTCCAGGAGGCCATAGAGTGAGGACTCTGCAACTGATAGCTCTAAGTCCAGTGAATATATATTTCAATGGCTGAACTAGTGGCACGTTTTTCTTTATGCAGACATAAGAGAAGTAAGATTCAACAAACAGCAAATTTTCCTTGGCTGCGAAGAGCTAGAATGCCTGAGGCTTCTTTTGATGTCTCAGTTTCTTGAAAAATTTTGTTCCTGTTCTGGTCTAAATCCTTTTACCTTTTCTAGTTGTGCTTATATACCTTCCACTATTACTTATTTTCTAGTCATAAATTAAAAGACTGACTGTAGCAATGATCTTTGGAACCATTTTACTGAAATATCCAATCAGGCAGGGATAGATTCCCATTCCTCCACTTAGGAAAATTTATTTTATTTCTACTTGGGTATTATGAAAAAAAATACCACACACAGATAACTACTATCTGTGTATTTGGACACACACACAGCTAGTTTTGGACCAAAAAGGTTTGTTAGGTTTTTGAAGTGGCAATAGCAAGCTGAAAATCCATATTACAAAAGCACAAAGGCTCCTTCTTTAGTAGTTCATTTGAGCAGGTCATGCTGCTGTTGTGAACCAGATTCTCTCCAGATATATTCATTTACTAATTCCTATGTGGATAGGTATTGTTGATTTGAGTACCTCATTAGAGTAAGTGCCTCAAAACTGTTACTTCTCACTCACTGAAAAATATGGAACAAGAGATGTTAAATTAATTTGAGATTTTCACCTCTCCACCTTTTTTTTCTGGCTTGGATCTCTTGCTCCATGTGCCTATGTATAAAAATATCCATTCAGGCCAGAGCTAGAAAGGCAATGTTTGGAGAGGAAGACAGACTTATCTCTGAGGAAACATGTGACTTTTAGCCAAAATCAATTTTTTTGAGTAATCTATTCTAGAAAACAGGCAACGTCGCCAATACCAGGTCATTGGTTTATCTTGCTATTAGTTGAGACATCTTGCATAAATGTTTTCTAATTTTCATATTCAGATCAATTTTATACTATGCCATCACCCTGTTCTAGGCACCTCATGTAGGCCCTTGCAGTACCTCACTACCATTTACTCTACAATGTACTTGTCTTCCTGTTTCCTTTGAGCCAAAGAGTAATTTTACACATTTTATTTGTGGAACACTAAACACAGGGAAACACCAATTCCCAAAAAATGACAGTGGTGTTACAGGGATTAGTTTCTGCTCCATGTGCCCTAATCTTTTTAGTGTTCATGAAAGGGTAAAGGTAAGGATGGAGGGTTTCAAACACTGTCCATGATTTTGCATAGAACAGAAGGAGCCTTTTGCTATTTATATACCTGCCCTGCCCTGCTTTATGTAGTTATTTTTCCAGGGCAGTTCTAGAGGGAAGATGTTGGAGATGAATTATGTAATACAGACTATAAACTAGAGGCATGAACACTTGGACAATTTCATGCCTACCTTCTGGAATTTCCCTTGTGCCCATATATCTTCAGTTCCCTGTTTGTGTGTGGCAGTAACTAATACCATAGGTTAACCTTCTGTAGTACCATTAAAATCATGTTCACAGACTCAGAGCTCTTGCAGCGTTTAAGTCTTTGGCATTGGATACTTCTGAAAACACTTGAATATCTTAGAAACCCAACAACAACAAAAAACCTGGTAACTTCCCTCCTTGTTAATTATCAATAAATTGTGACTATTATTAAAACAGCATAAATCCATCAGGAGTTGGAAGTTGCCAGATCTCCTTGAGTCAGAATTTCAGTGTGAGTTCCAGGACTCCTGTATGGAAAAACTGCATGTGTAGTGTGTGAGCATGCACTTCTTGATCTCTTTTAATCAAGATAAAAATGGATAATGTAACAGCAGAGTTTTGAGAAAGAATGCAAATCGCTGTGCATTGCAATGAAATGTTTCCCCTTAGGATTAGAATGCCTACTAAGACTCCTCAGCATGAGCTGGAGCTGATATGTGAAGCTTTTTCTTGCATAAAGGCAGACAGGTTAGAGCTCAGCTGGGCCAACCATAGGGCCTGGTTCTTCAGCAGTTAATCAGGCAATGCACCTGGAGGAGTCAGAGAGGTTTGCCTCTTAATGAGAATTACCCAGCTAAATCTCCCTCTGCAGGGCTGGCAGTGTAATCCTGCAGCAGGAAAATGATACATAGGGACCCCTAATAAAAGTCTTAATTTCCTTTGACCACTGCTAGCATTTTAGGTCCACAATGGCCTTGGAAGTTATCAGTCGTACTTTGTTGGCCAGCACATAACGTTCAGAGATAATTCCTCTTCAGAGCCCTCTGCTTAAACCCACTTATGTCTCTTCTGCTCCATGCAGTTTTTCTTCCACCTCTGTAACTCCTGTGGGGATGAAAGGATATGGAACTGCCTGCCTCTTCCTTTTATTCTTCCTAGGGAAATAAAGATAGACAAAAATGTGTAATATTTATTTATCAAGAAAGATTAAATCATGCTACAAATTAAAGAGAAATATATATTACAAAAGTACAATTATGGGCTTGGACATTTGATCAATGGTATTGCATGGCAAAAAGGGTTAATGTGGCAGTTCAACCACAAAAGCTTTGTGAGCTCTCTCAGCCTTCAACAAAGGTAAGAAAAGGTGTGTTAGAGCAGCCCCAAGTGAAAAAGACTTACCTTAAATTTCATTATTTCGCATTCTCCATACATTTTAAAGATGATATTACCATGGCTCAGTTGAGGGTTGGTAAAGAAACAGTAACTGACCACAAGGGTGATACATATAAATGGGAATTGTGAGAGGAACACTTTGAGAGCACCTCATATGGCTTGCAAATGGGAATATATTAGCTCAGATCTCCCACATATATTTCTTCTGCTTTGGTTTTCTGTGCTTCTAAACCATCACTAAGATATCTTACTGATTCAGAGAAAAAAAAAAAAAAAAAAAAAAAAAAAAAAAAAAAAAAGAGCAGTAAGTAAGATAGACGATCTGTTAAAGCGAAGGCTGCATTTTTAATAGCTATAACAACAGAACTAGGGGAAGCAATAGCTAAGTAGTTCATCCCTTCACAAATCTGTCAGGACACACTCTCTACATCTGCCAAAACAATGGTAGTAATGCAAAGAAGTGCCTAATATTATTAAGTCTGAAATACAGATGCAACAAAGAATTATCAACATTAGTACATAACCCTGCATAGCGAGGCCTCCTGGAAAATCTGCTTTTATCAGATTTTCCCCATTAACACCAGCTGATAATGTGGAAAAAGTCTTTTCCAGCCCACTTAAAATGAACCAGCCAAAATGCAATGCAAATAGAGGACTCCAGCAGCAAGAAACAAACTTGATGCCTATAAGTAAACTGAGATGAAGTATGAGTGAAGCAAAGAAAACAGCACTGACTGATCTGTCAAAAACTAGTAAGACCTCCAAGAATTTCTTCAGCTCCACCCAGATGTGATGCTGCTCATGTTAAACAAGAAGTGTATCTCCATTCCTTCCTGTGACTGCCATGTGCCTGGTGATCCAGTCCGCATGCTCTTTGGCACAGGATGCCTACTCCTCTCAAGTAAGTGACAATACTTTTTATAGAGACATTAGGACTTCTTTGGACAACTATTTCTACACAGGAGTACTTTAAAAATAGCAAATAAAACTAGCCATGAATGTCAATTAAGTAGCCTTTGGCATACTTTAATTCCTTTACTTTAAAGTGGGTGGCATAGCAATCTTTTTAGTGTTTATCACTGAGATTTCAAAGTGGACACAGAATTAGAATTTTAATTCATAAGTGTAATCATTCAGAAAGAAATGCATTTACCTATGCTGACTTTAAAATAAGTGTTTAGAAATTCAAGACTTCTCTTGTTTATGGGGAAGAAAGACTGATTGTCAGGGCTCCAAATTTAGGGATCACTCCTCACATCTATTGCTCTGCTGTCAAAAACTTAGATTTATTTTGTAAGCACAGACTGTATTAACAAATAAAGATGTTAAGCTTAATTCCAGTGAATTTTTCTCCTGCTTTATCCTGTCCTCCTGTACATCAAAATCCTTGCTCCAGCTTGCTGAAGTTCACCTGCATGTTTCCAAACACTGGAAATGCAGAGGAAACTGAAAAAGGGATTTAGCAACAACAGCAACAACAGGAACAACTAAAGGTAATCTTATATATAAATTTTTTAAATGTATGTAATTATAATACTAATTTCCTGAGCTCTTTCTTGAGGATACTCTATTGCCTGCAGGGGTCACTGTGACTTCCTCAGGCCTCTACTACAACTGAAATCAAAAAGAGCCAAAAACCAACAAAAAATTATCTAAATATAAGAAAACAGCTTTCTTTGTTCTGGTTTTTTGTTTTGTTTTGTTTAAATTATAAAATTGCCATCCCATCCTCAGAGCTTGTTATCAGAACTTTGACAAATTAAAGTAATACTCTTTCTCTGATGTTTCAGTGTATGGGCAACTACATGATTTACCAGCAAACTTAAAATTTGGCCTTCTCCACTTACCCCATGCTTTGCCAGTGTATTTCAATAAAGATGTCTTCAGTGTATTTCAAAGTAATCCTGGAGAGAAGCATCTGAGTAATCTAGGGGATGCCCAAAGCCTCTGCCTCCCCCCCACACTGGTGCTTGTGCAAGCAGAGCCTGTCAGACCCTTGCAGACAGATTGCATATGTCACCTTCCCGCATGCTGGCCCTCCTTCCACTACTTTTGTGCAGTAATAGTACAATAACTTTCCTGTACAGTGACTCTCTGTATCCGTAAAAAGAAGGGGTTGGGTTTTTCTCTGAAGATCACATCCCAAAGTCTTTGCTCAGCCCTTACCCTTGCAAAATCTCATTCAAATCAATGGATATTTGCATGAGAAAGCAATCACTTAAAATTAGACCTGAGTGAAATAAGGCTTGGTGAGGGAAAGGGGGAGGTAGTGGTGAGGGGTAATAGGTGCTTTCATTTCATGCAGCATAACATTTGATGCATTTGATGTGGTTTGCTATGATTTGGTCAATCAGATGATATAAATTTTTAGATTATTTGCCTGTTGAGGTAAATTGGACTCTGAAGAATTTTGTTATATGTTTTCTCCTTCCTTGAGGCTCCGCTTGCAAGATCAATATCTTTTGTTAATAAAATATAATCAAGATAAACACAATCAAGCAGAATAAATCACTCAGCCAGAAAACAAAAAGATACAATTCAATTGCCCACCCCAGGTCAACACAGTTCTCTGCTACCAAAGGTGCTGGACATTTGGCTTGACAGTGAATGATCCAGCTGATGAGAATGTGCCAGTAAGGTCTGAATCAAAAATGTAGGAGGGTGAAGGGGGAGAAAGAGAGAGAGAAAAAAAAAAAGACTGAAAGCGTAAAAGTTTAGGTCCAGCACTCTCTGCTACCTCATAAAAGTTTATTTGTTTTTCAAAGGTGCGGTGCAGGCACCCAATGTTTACATCTGACATTTAACAAGACATAATAACTTGAAGCTGCCTCATCATGTTCTGCAAGTGACAAGGGGTGACAATGAAGACAATTTATGTAGGGACCAAAGAAGTCTGTTCTGTAGCCCTTTTTCTGGTTGAAGATCTTGTATTTTATTGCTTCTCCACATAAAGCTTCCTGTTTATGCTTTATGCTGATGGAGTGAATTTCATCCTTCATAATTTCGCCTACCCTAGCTCAAGTCACTTAGGAAGCTTTTATGTAGATTTTACACTTAATTAACATAACCTCATCAGACTTGGTATTTTCTGGAATTTGCACAAACTGGATGTCTTAAGAAACCCTGGCTGAAGACGAAGTCGTAAGGATTGCTTTGCTGAGAAAGAGGAAAAAAAATATTGTATACAGCAAAAAGGCGAAGAAAAACTTGGATTAGAAGATGGATTTAGTGTGTTAAGAAGTCACAGAACTTTGACAAAGCACAACTTTACTAATACAAATAAGAACCCTGAGCTGCATTTGAATTCACATCACACCACACCTGGTAAGAATTAGTCTAGCACAGCATCATCAATCATAGTGTGGTTGTCAGTTTTGACATCCTTTAAGTCTACGTTGTATGCTTAATGACTACATTACAGAAAATGTAAACAGACACCAAACATTAAGGTATGCCCTATATATTTTTTTTAAAGTTGCTGTATATTTAAAATAAAAATAAAACAGCACCAATGGTGTTTTATATAGAGAGTGAATTAGTAAACTGTAAAACAAGCTGCTATAAAATAACCAGAAAAAATTTTCTTAAATGAAGAATTAAAAAAACCCAACAAAACAAAAACCACAAACCAAAAAAGCTTGAAATATTAAGGAACTTTGATTAACCCAATTAGGGAAAACAACAATTAATATTTAGAGGAAATAGACACACTCTTATATTTTGCTATTGTATATTTTTTCTCTGTCAAATATCATTAAATATTATCTTTACTATACTATCCTGTGAATTTTTCAGTTTGATATTGTGACCATGATTTACTAATAAGGACTCTGGAGTGACTTGTGAGCCCATTACAAGCCTTGTATTAATAATTCATAAGGGAAAAACATGCTGAAGAAGTGCTTGGGATCATGACCTAAGTGAAATGCCTGAGTTCAAACTAAAAATTTCCCAAATTCCGTTTTTATTATTAGCAGATTTCTAGAATTACAACACTTACAAGAAAGCTTTCAGTTCTGCAGCTCAAAAGGTTGACCAGGTATTATGACTATAAGGCCCCTTGTCTCATTTGCTTGTGTGATTTGTGATTAAAACTTCCACAGACTTCAGCAAGTGCAGGATCAGGTCCCTCAACAACTCATTCAGGGCGAAGCTTAATTTGAGATTTTAGTGAGTGTTTATTTTCTGGCTCAACAGCAGTATATTTTGGAAGTGTGAAAAATGTATGCAAAGAAGGGTCAAAATCCAGATGTAAGAATGAATAGCAAGAATACATTCAAAGGGTACAGGAGGAGTGAGAACTGTAAATACATCTGTGATTTGGTCTATGAAAGGTAATGCTATCTCTTTACTGAAACTGCGTTGTACATTCTTGTGATATGTATGTAACTGCCTCTGCAGAGAAATTGAAAAGGTTTTAAAATAAAAAACCCTCACTTTTTCTTTGTAAATTGGTTTTGTTAAGCTTCCAAAGTAAAAAGAAGAGCCAGAAAACAATGTTTTATTTTAAGTCATTTGAATAATCTTCCTCATTTCTGTGATCTATCACTCACAGATAAGAAGCACCTTGCGAATTTTATTATTTCTACAAAATAGATCTTATTCAATTAGCAACTGTCACAGAAAAAAAACCAGACAATAAACCTCCAGATCTGATTAAAATGGAAAGAAACTTTGAGTGAAATGCATGATATTGAAAACTGTTATATTTCTTTGAAAATGAGCATTCTTACAGAAATTACTTTCAAAGATTTTACTGAGCATGAATTAAAGACCCAAATTTGGTTTAATTTTAGTAATCAGGAACAAAATTTGAATTGGGAACTGCCTCAGATATTTGTAGTTTTCATTTAAATATTTGTTTTAGGAATAATAATGTTTCAAAGCTTTGAAGGAATTAATGTATTTTTGGAATTTTGATTTATTCACTTAGGACCCCCAATCATTTCTAGAACAAGGAAACAAACAAACAAACATACAAAAAAAAAAAAAAAAAAAAAAAAAAT